CTAAAATGAAGAGACAGATTATGGAAATATCTAGGTTGATCCTGTTGTGAACAACTTTAATTATCATCTCCATGACCTGAGGTCGTTTCAGTCAAGATGATGCCAGTAGGGAACGGGGAGTTGTCACTCTGAATAGTAACGATTTGAGGAGTAGAGGTGGAAGAGCCGTCTGTGTGTGAGAGGGAGAGGTTGCAGTGGAAGGATTTGAGGATAAGATAAAGGTATGAGTTTTGATAAGAGGATTTTGATATGAATGTATAAAATTTGGAGGTAAGGAATTTGGATTGGAGGGAAGGAATTTGGATTTGAAGAATTTGATTTAGGGTTTGGGTTTGAATTTAAAGGTAAGATTTGAGGGTTTAGAGACAACCTAGGATCGATTACTCTGATACCATGCTAAAATATGAATATGGTTTGAATACTTTAGGTTAATTGTATTCTTCTCCGTAAGGAAGTATATATAGGAGTTTACATGAGTGTTTTACAAGAAAATAGATACAGTATTCAATTAGGATAATATCTCCTAATTATACAAGGATATGCCAACTATATAAAATAGGAAAGTAAATCTTCTCATTTAGGAAGGCTCACATCAATTAATGGCTTATTTGATTGGCCTAGTTACTTATACAAGAGGGCTCACCACCTATTTATAGGTATATAGGCTTCATAGAGACTAGGCTTAACGGCCTTCTACAACTAGAAAATGTTTACTAGGCTTGTTGGCCTCCTTCTTTCTACTGGCTTATTGGCCTCTTCTCTCTTAGTTTACTTATACAAGAGGGTTCAACACCTATTTATAGGTATAGGCTGCCACCATTGTCCAAGTCCACCAACTTGGCTTTCTTCTCATAGCCACTAGTTTACAATATAATAGTATTACCTTATTACAAGATTTTTATTAGGATTTTTCTAGAATGCCTACAATAATTATGTCTTAAAGCTTGATCTTGCCCACTTTGCCAAAGTTAGTAGGCATTTATTGAGTTTTCTACTTTTTTTTTTTTTTTTCTTTCTAGATTTGTCTAAATTCTTTAAGATAAGTGTGCATTAAATGTTCGCCAAAAAAAAAAAGAAAAAAAAAGTGTGCATTAAATTTAAAATAAATTATCCGGCAAAGTAGGAAACTTTGTGCAAGCAAAAGTCATATATAACGATAAAATACAAACTCATTTTCCATACATTATTAATTATTTCCTAATTAAGTCGTTATACCAACATGTATTATTTCGGGTGTATTTTTTCTTACCACCTTAACCCTAGGTGTACCCTCACCACCCCTCCTAAAATTTGACACATGTCCATGGGTTTAACTATGATTAATTCTTTATTTTTTATTTATTTGATAACATTATTATGAGAGAGAAACAATACTTCAATAAGATTTTTCCTGATTTACCCTTATTAACCTAGCAAACTTTCCACTTTTCCAAATTAATTAACAACTACCAAAATAAATAATTGGCAATTGGCGTGATATATAGTCAGGAATCCTAGGAGTCATGGAAGCTCTCCATAGCAACTCTGTATCGTTCATGTTGTGAAAAACCTTTGGCGGCTTTATGTATTCCTTTAATCCTCGTATGTGAGGTTGGGCTGTGTGGCTCATATTGGAAGTTGAGGCTGTTACATTTGGTATTTATGGTCTTCCAGCCAATATTGGTCTTCCACTTCCCATGAAACTGTTGGCATCCCAATCTTAACAAAAAAAACTTAATCTTCACAGCCAATATTGCTTGTTGTTTTTGGTTTTTATGGAAGTTTATTCAGATTTTTTAAATAATGCAGAGCAATCACCGAAGTATAAAAAATAATCAAGCAATACAAAGTACTAAAAAAAATAAGAAAAAAAAGCAGCATGGATTATTACCTATCTTTCACTTGAACAAATGGAGGAAGCCTGCAATTGAAGAGCAGTGTAACTTTTGGGCATGGATAAAAGGAGTTAATTAAAGCCAATTGAGATTCAAAGTATCTTGGTGTGTTCTTCAAAGTATTGAAGCCTGTGAATTGATATTCGTATTAAAGCACACCAATTGTCAACATGGACATGTTAAAGAATTACTGCGAGGGGCACTTGATTCTTTGTAGCATGCTGGAGGTAGTTGGAATCAATAGAAGGGATGCGTTTAATAGGCATATTGTGGAGCAGATTATAGAACAGGGTCTCATAATTGGCAATAGGGTCCAGCAACGTGGGTCATAAGGTTTTGGGGTTGTGCGTTCACATGAAAAAAGTGCACCTCAAGCATCGTTATGAGGCGTGAAAAGTGGAAAGTTTATTTGGGTAGTTGTTAATTAATTTAGGAAAGTGGAAAGTTTGCTAGATTAATAAGGGTAAATCAGGAAAAATCTTATTGAAGTATTGTTTCTCTCTCATAATAATGTTATCAAATAAATAAAAAATAAAGAATTAATCATAGTTAAACCCATGGACATGTGTCAATTTTTAGGAGGGGTGGTGAGGGTACACCTAGGGTTAAGGTGGTGAGCAAAAATGCACCCGTATTATTTCCTAATTGGTAGTTGAATCAAAATAAATTTTTATTTATTCCAACAACTAAATAAATTTTTACTAAAAAAAGAAACAAGTACATTAATTGAGTCAATAGAGCCTCCTTTATATATATATATATATATATATCAAGCATCCACTTGGTTTCAAGGTAAGAGGTTCCTTTGATGTTCATAATGCTCCAAATCCAAGTTCCTTCTCTGCCTCTCTTTACATCTTTGGTCATCCTAGTTACCCTAATTATATGTTGGAAGAGATTTAAATCCCCTACAGTTAGAGCACCAATTCTTAGGCTGCCTCCAGGGCCATGGAAGCTACCCCTGATTGGAAACTTGCACAATTTGACTGGCTCTTTACATCACAGCCTAAGAGACTTGGCCAAGAAACATGGAACCATCATGCACCTCAAGCTGGGGCAAGTGTCAGCCATTGCCATTTCATCACCAGACTTAGCCAAACAAATCTTGAAGACTCACGAGACTGCAGCTTTCTCACAAAGGCCTACTGTTCTTGCGGTTGAAGTTTTGTCCTATAATTTCTTAGGCATCATCACTAGCCCTTATAATGAGTATTGGAGGCAGATGAGGAAGATTTGTGTTTTGGAGCTTCTAAGCGCGAAGCGTGTGCAGTCATTTTCATCGATAAGAGAAGAAGAGGCATGGAACCTTGTTGAATCAATTAGCTTGTCACAGGGCCAACCTATCAACCTCAGTGAGATGATTTTCTCCATGCAAGACAGCATCATTGCCCGTTCAGCCTTGGGGAAAAAATGCAAATACCAACAAGAGTTTAGGTCACTGATTAAGGAGGCAATCATCCTTGGAGAAGGCTTTTCTTTGCCTGATTTGTTCCCTTCCCTCAAATTCCTCCGTCACGTCACAAGGACGAAGCCTGCACTGGAGAAGATACACCGGAAGATTGACAGAATTCTTGATGAAATCATTGATGATCATCATGAGTTGAAAAGAGTAAAGACCAATGTTGTTGCATCTATCACCACTAGAACTGATGAAGTATTGCAGGAAGGTCTAGTTCATGTGCTTCTACAACTTCAGGAGTCTGGTGGCCTCCAATTTGATCTCACCATCAACCACATAAAAGCTGTCATCCTGGTACAAGTTATATGAATTGCTTAATTTGTCGATGATTTAATTATCTAGTAACATCCTCTTGCCCAACAAATGTTTATGTTGTGAGACTGTGAATCTAAATCACACACGTTCTGACAAGAATTAATGTGATTTCTTTCGTGATCCCTTTTAAGAAGGGAACTATAAATGCATAACTAAACAAACCTTTTACAGGACATGTACTTGGCAGGAGCTGAGACTTCAGCAACAACCACAGAATGGGCAATAACAGAACTTGTGAAAAATCCAAGAGCAATGGATAAAGCACAAGCTGAGGTACGGCACCTTCTTGCAGGAAAGAGGAAAAATATTCAAGAGGAAGATATTAAGAAACTAGACTACTTGAAGTTAGTCATAAAAGAAACTCTACGGCTACACCCTCCTGCTCCCTTAATTCCAAGAGAAGCAACTCAAAGAATCAAAATTGGAGGATATGATATACCAACAGAAGCCAAAGTTCTGATCAATGCTTGGGCAATTGGGAGAGACCCAAACCACTGGGACAATGCTGATTGCTTTATACCTGAAAGGTTTCAAGGTTCATCTATCGATTTTCGAGGGACCAACTTCGAATTAATTCCATTTGGGGCTGGTAAGAGAATATGTCCAGGCATCTCATTTGGAATTGCATCGGTTGAGCTTGCACTTTCTCAACTGCTCTACTACTTCAACTGGAAACTCCCCAATGGGAAAAAGGTAGAAGAGCTTGACATGACTGAGTCTTTGGGAATGACCCCTAGGAGGAGGAATGACTTGTATGTTATCGCCACTCCCTTCGTTCCATAATTGAACATTGTGAATTATGGCATATATAGGTCTCTAGCCTGACAGTTCAGCAAAATAAAGCCTCAGCTAAGTAATCAATAGTGTGGATTTTCAGTTTGGAAATAATATTAATGCTTTATATTATGTTGCCTGACTACGAATCTGTGCTACATATTTATACAAAATTTCAGTGAATAAAGTGGTTTACTAGATTGACAAGCTAACAACATATATTATATGCCAAACTGTCTAGCGCTAGCTAGAGAACTTCCCCATGTATATATATATGTATCTATTTCAGTGGCCAAAGCTGTTGTACAACAATGGAAGGGCCATGACAATAAGTTTTGGCTTGGCCGGAGTTTGATACTTACAGATGACAGCCCCCTATATATTAATTCAATGTATTAATATTATGCTTGTAAAAAGGATAAAGATCTTTATGTGTATGTGGAATAAATAAATTTATGAATGAAATACAAAGAACAACAGCCAAACTTGTAAACCGGAATTTTAAATGCATAAAGCTGTGTCATCAATGCAACATGTTTTTAGACGGAACATGACAGCATGAATTTATTTACAAAAAGAAGCAATCTTATAATTTCATGAATGTTTTGTGATAAAAAAACATAACAATAATTTCCATGTGCGTAAGTTTGGGTAGCTTTCATTGAAAGACGAATTGATTATTGTTACAGCTAGCTAGCCAGCTATCCCAATGACAGTGAAGTGGTGGGAGGATTGATTTTCCGGTCCCTGAGATCAAAACTCGTCGCCGTCAAAATCTTATGAAATTGAGGGCACTAATGATCTCTGGCCCCCCAACTCCGTGGCCATAAACTGGAGACTGGAAAGCTTGAAACTTTATGAACCAAAAACCTCAGCCGCCCAAAAATACCACAAAATGCAAACTTCGTTTCACCTATTTCGCCTGCCGACACTTCAAATTTGTCTAAAAACACGTGTGCATGGACACACACATACACACTCCATTATTTGCAGATTGTGTAGAGAGAGAGAGAGAGAGAGAGAGAGAGAGAGTATTGGCCAAATATATGAAAGCTCACTCTCAGTAGCTCCTCTGTGGACCTGCAATTGGTTTACCATCTTCGATTCCCTTTCAGCAGCAGCCAGTAAGTCAGATTCTGATGCCCTGCCAGTCTTCTTGGTGATAACCCACTCATAAGAGCTACCCAACTGGAACAATCCAGAGACCATTGCGTTGAATTTTGTTGCCGACATAGTGTTCTCAAAAAGCAGTAAGGAACAATCAAAGGGAATGATTTGGGGGATGGAAGAATGTTGAGAAATGACATGAAAACGGACACGTAACAGATGATCGAAATATTCGCGCGGGTGTACTTTTCAAATTTTCTCTTTTTGGTGTATAGCCGCGCCGCTATAATATTTTAGACTATAACCGAAATATTCTATTTAGAAAATAGCCGCACGGCTATACTGTTAAAATAATATATTTATGGTGTTTAGCCGGGCGGCTATAGCGTTAATTCTACTCGAGCGGCTATACTTACAAGATATTAGACCATCTCCAACCATGAGGGCCAAACCCAAATTTTAGGATTATAGCCCCAAAAACCTTCTCCAACCATGTATAATGAGGGGTGGTAATTTGGGTCAGACTGAAATCTTGGGTGGAATTTGGCCCAACTTTCCAGTCCGGGTGGAATTTCTGTGGGCCCCAAGTCGAAGCCAACTTGTGCAGCATGTGAAGGAATGACAAGACAGGGCAAATTGGCTAGACACGTGGAAGGCTCGCATCAAAGGGACGTTGGAATCCAACAGCTCCCTTTGAAAACCAATTATGCATCTACTTGTTCTTTTTTTAATTCTTTATATAATCTTTTGGAGCCTTTAAAAGCTGGCCACGTGTAAAGCAATGGGAACCAACTTTTTGTCATTTTTCAAGCTTTCTCAAATAGATATAAACAGCCCATATTTTTTTCAACTTGATTTTTAACGAGAAAAAGAAGATCCAATTATCAAAATTAAAATCAAATGGTTAAAATAATATTTGTAATTTATCTAAATGAGATCCCACTCTCAAACTATACAATCATTCTCATTTTAATTTCAAGCCAAAAAAAATGTTATGTTCATGGAATTTTAATTTTTTTAGATTAAAATGTTTAGAAAATTAATTCACGAATGTTGAAACAAAATTAATGTCAAGAAAAATTAATGACAAAAAAAATTTAAGCGTTAATCATTCTTAAACAATTTAATAAAGTTGCAGACTCAAATTATGAGTCCGCAAGGTTGGAGGAAAAAACAGTTTGAGTCCTAAAAATACATGAATAGTTGTATTTTGGAGGGTGAAAATTTGAGTTTAGCCCTAACATGGTTGGAGATGGTCTTATATTTTTAGGGTACTGCCGAACGGCTATACAGTTACATATTCTAATGTTGGAGTATAGCCGCGCGGCTATACATTTTAAAATATTATATTCAAAGCAGACAGCCGGGCGGCTACACTATTAAAATATTATTTTCATGGAGTATAGCCGCCCGGCTATACTGTTAAAATATTATATTTATAGAGTACTTTTAAAATATTCTATTTAGGCTATACTCTTAAAATATATGCACCAACAATAAAAATATGGATTTATCTGTAAGCTTATCTTTTGAGGTGCCCTCCGTGAACATCCTACATCGAAAATCCACACTCCTATAAAGGTGTGTATAAACAAAGCACTATGATGGTTTGGTAATTTTAGTTAACACTGAATAGTTCGGCTAATGGGCTTGGCTATAGGTTGGACTTTAGATTTGACTTTGAGTAATAATAATTATATTAATAAAAAATTTGGACCTTAGGGCTCTAAAGAAATTTCATTCAGACACCCAAATGAAAATAAGTAATTTATATTTTCGTTTTTGCGCAGCATAATTTAAATTGAAAATGACAAGACATATCATTTCAATTTAAATTTCAATGAAATTAGGTTTATGACTACTGTGGTTTGAAGGGGTGCAATCAGTACTATAAATACTGAATATCCAATAGCTAGAAACTCACTTACAAGATTTTGAACGTACAAAAATAATACATATGTTTTTAACTTTGCATTTATAGATAGTTGAATTATGGGAGATAGATTTCATTGAACTACAAGTACTAAGAAGGGGCGAAATTCTGTCTTTAGAACATTGCCAATACGCAAGCCTTTATCTGAAAATAAAGTCAGTGTTCTTTATTTTTCTATGTTATTCTATTCTGCAGTTTGTATAATCTGTTCTTGTATAAACACATTGCTTATTGTATTAATACAGTGATTCTATACTCTTTAAATATATTATGTTTTAATTACTATTTAATATAACAAAATAAAAAAATAAAGTCCACAAAATAATTTTAAATAATTATTTATTAAATAATTTATGAAATAAGTAACATATTTAAATATTCACTAATAATAATTAAACCAGCCATTCCACATCCTTTGCAACTCTATCTCCTCTCATGTGTCCTGACATTGCTAATGGCATCGCTTAACTAAGCTAGTAGTCCGGTTGGATACTGACCCCGGAGCCTGAGCATCAACTTCTGCAAGAGTCGGAGCCTCCTCCCCTCACATTCTTTAGGAGCCGGAGCATCTTCCCCTTCACCTTCTTTAGGAGTCAGAGCCTCACTCTCCACCACCTGTACATGTTGGTAACCGTCCGTCAGGATGGAGCAAGCAGCTTCCAATGCCTCCAAGTTATTCATCTTCGAATTGTTGGCCATGAACTGTGACAAAAATATTCATTAAATTTACATACAATATCTCAAAATGAAACCATATTTAAGTAAGAAATAGGTGATAGCTAGGAATGTGGACATGTTGCTCTCTCTGTTCTTCAATAAACAATTGTATAGGTACCATTTCAAGAGAGAGAACGAGAGGATTTTGAGTTGTAGGGGAAGAAAGGGAGAGATAAGTTGTATGATGTGTATAAAATGGTTGATCTCTTGACTGCCCAAGGTTACATTGATGACAATTTTGCGATAATCGAGAATGTGGTTATGGTAAATGATGAAGAAGATGTTGAGGCAGAAAGATTAGCTAAATTTATGAAGATAAGATAAGAGAAGGATGTTGTTGAGATAAGAGATGAAGTGGATAAGTATTTGTTAGAGCGACATGAAAACCTTAGAAATACAAATTTTGACTACTTGTCTTGGTGGAGAGAGAATAGTCCAAGATTTTCGGTTCTATCCCAAATTGCTAAAGATGTATATTTGGCATTTCAATATCTACTGTGTCTTTAGAATCTGCCTTTAGTTTGGATGGTAGAATTGTAGATCATTTTTGTGTTTCTTTGACTCCAAAAATGGTGGAGGCCTTGGTTTGTACAAGTGATTGGTTGAAAGCCGAGGAGTTTTGCTTTTGCAAGGCCCACTAAGGAGGAACTTTTAATTTTTTATATTTCTTTTTGTTTTCTTGTATGAAATATGTTTATTTTCTTACTTTCATAATTTGTTTAGTGATGTAGAACTGGATTCTAGTTCTCAAATGAAAGGGCAAATAGCTGCTAGTACATCTTGAATGTTACAGTGACTAATAACCTTCTTTTATCTCAAATAACATATTTATTCTTGACTTTGTTTTTCTTTGACTCCAGTACACTAATCAGATTTGGATTGAAGATTACTAGGACTCTTTGTTTCTTTTTTCTTTTTTTTTTTGGTAACGTTATTAGCTATTTTGTTATGTATTTTTCATGTTTGTATGTAACTTTAAAACTAAGTTCTTTAATTTCGTACTAGGATGAATTAGACTATTGAATTTTTATCTCTTACATGAATAATTTGGAGTATTTGTTCAAGAAAATATATTATGTGAAATGATTATAAATTGTATTTTGTTACATAATTAGTATGTTTTTTTTAATGGAGTTACCGGTTTACTGAACCAACCCAAACTGAATATTAGAGTAACTGATCCGAACAATTAAAGGTCCTAATATGTAGTTAACGGAAGAGAAATTAGCCTACTGAAAATTATGGTTTAGTT